GGGAGGACCAAAAACCTGGTCAGAGTCCACATCACAGCCTTATATTTTACTTCTGTAATCAATAAAGGGTCCCAGACCCTTGCAGTGCAACTGGGCATCAATAAGCCCATCACTGCAAGATTCAAGGACCCAAATGGAAAGTATGTTCTTCATTATTACTGACAACAGATGACCAAACCCAACAAATCAAAGTACGTGAAGAGAAATCAGATAATGGGAGGCTTCTTTCCAAGCGGGTTTTTCCCCATCATTCACAGATCAGGAAGCACACGCAAAATACAGAAGATTATGCACAACAATATATCAGACTTCATATACTATTATAAACCTCAGTGTATTGAAGAAACACATCAGAGGCAGGGAAAGGTTTATTTTCTATTCATTACCTTGTAAATACACAGTGTTATTCACTAGTACTGCACCCATACCACACAATGCATAGAAAAACAATTTGACCAATAAATTTATTCATTCATCTCATATGGAATACTCTCGGGTGTCAGTGACCAATTAGCTTGATCAGAGCAAGTTTTAAAAAGCAGTAACAGCTCAGGACAAGCAGATATATAAGATACCAGGGCTTCTTGGGTCGATTACGGCTTAATAATACAGTTATGTGCTTGTATTAGTCACTAATGCTTCTTAAATAGCATAGAATTGTACAGGCAATATATAGTTTCCAGGTAGTGGTAGCAGCGGTGTTTGTATACTAGTTTCATGTTGATAGTGTTTATCTAGAAGTATATACATATTTGCTCATTTTGTCAATATTCAGGATATGATCTGATAAAAAATACAAGACATTAAAAAATACACTGCTGTACAGAATCAAAGATAAAACTTAATCTGTATATACCCCACCAGGTATACATACCTGTAAAACTCTATATAAGCTTACCTGTTATATTATTCAGCTCTTCTTTTAAGAGGCTAAAGCTATGCAGTAGGGGATCCCTTTCTTCATCCTATAGGTTATATACACACAAAGAAAGTCATCATCAAAGCAAGCACATTCCTAAGGACACATCTTAGTAATGGATCCATAAAGACTTCACCTTCACTTTCAAGGAAGTACCAGGTTGGGTTTATCACTTTCAGACCACTTACTCCATCAAAATTAAGAGAAGTACTTTTATTTTCCTTCTAATGCTACGCAATGTTGTACAGCTCAAATATCAAAGAGGAGGTTGAAGACTGAGCATCTTGGTTTCACTTAATTGTCCTTAGAAGTATTTCTGTTTAGCCTTCCAGTCGTCAATACATTTCACGGCAAATCTACTTCAAACCATACTGAAATGGCTCATAAGGATTTTCTGCCATCTTAGTCTATGTAGCAACTTGTAATGGGAACAGAAATATAATGACATTTGGTGCCATTAAAATATCTTGAAGAAAGAATCACTGTGTGAAATTCATATGAATAGCTGTGTCCTTTAAACTCAGTCTACCTGTATGATAGTAAAATAAGGAGGAGCTCTAGTTCCTCTAAGCTGTGCACACCTGCAGCCACACCTCCTACTGGGTGGCAATAACAACTAATGGAGAAATGTTTCTCAGAAGGAAAAAGGGCCCTGCCCTTTGAGGGATCGAACCCATTTGTGTGGCTGGCAGGCATCTGCCATTCGTGTGACATTTTCAAGTGCATAACAGGTACAGCACACCACACACACATTTACATTGCGGAACCCATAAACTGACCAAGGCATCATTAGACCTCAAAGAGCTGTATTAGTGGCTTTTAACAAAACAGGTTTGAAACTATTAACATGTTTCAGCCAGGAATATAGTTAGCAGCCACACAACAGAGCAAAAAAGACGACACCATGCCATATGAAAAATGTCATATATAATGACTTCTCCAATTTTTATTTCATGCACAGCACTTGATCAACACTGCAATCTGTAGCAGGACACAAAAGATTTAGGACATGTTGTCCTAAATCAAGAGCAACCATATCTTCAAAATCTCTGACATATCTGGAAATAAAAGCCCAAAAGAGATTACTGAATGGCCTTGAACTCAACTCACTTTAACTTACTCCCATGTGGAATACAATATCTTCTTTGTTCATTTACAAAGTAGAAAGGTGGGAGTTTTCCAGCTTTGTACTCTGAGTCAGTGGCACAGTTAAAAAGCCAAAACTGCTTAGCGTGGAACAACACAGAAAATTACTCCAACTTTACTTACAAAAGGGCTACCAGGAGCGCTAAAAATTAGAGAGACTTTTCTAAAGGAGATGGTTTCTGCCATAGCATAAACAGAGAGCAACAATTCAAGAGAACATACCAGATGTGTGTGAGTGCTCCATCGGGCATTGCGTTTTATGGCTCCCACCACTGTGTTGATTTCACCTTGCACAATGTAAATGTTCTTATCCACCATCCTGGCAATCCTGAAAATAAAAATAAAACAAATTAATCTCCAGCCCCTCAGAATCATTCCCATTCTGAAGTGAAACGTCATGTTGGCCCTGGTGAAGCAGAAGGCCTGTAGAGATGCAAGAAACACCTTCAGGTCTTTGTTTTGTGCATGAAGACAAGTACAGTCAATTTGTCACAAGGAAGAGACCACGCTTTTTCACAGAACACATTTTCAAAAACAGGACAGCAGATAGTTAGTTGTAACAGGGCACCAATGAAGGAAGAGAAAACTTCATCAAGCCACATGCCTCATTTTTTTTCCAGGATACGTAAGTTCAGAGGAAGATGTAGTGTTGGGGAATCAGGGCACACATCCATGATGAGGCAATACCACGCACACCTCCAGCATTTATGCACACCTCCAGCATTTATGCAAAGTGCTGCAGCTCCACACAGAACAGAAAGCCAATCTCGTGCTCTGTTAAATAAGCATCAGTGGTTTGAATAACCTGGCCAAAGCAGAAACTCTTTGGGACTTTAAACTTTGAAAAAATAAAGTCATTCCTAACAGATGTTGATTTCACACTTGCTTCATGAAAAAGGCTTCTTAAGAGAAGAAAGAGGACAATTACCAAAGCCAAGGGTAATACCCGCCAAGAGATCAGCAAAACTGGAGACAAAACTGGACGGAACAAAGAGAAAAAGTGAGAAAGCTGGCCTGAGGTCTCATGATGTACCCAGACAGAAAATCAGAAAAGGAGAAAGAATTGCATGAGCCAGAAGAGGAACGTTTTTAATGCTCTGAGAAAAAGCATGAAAGAGTGGATTACCGTAAGACTGTTTTCTCTACAGTAGCTGTAACCCAGATATAGTCAGCCATAAAGAAATAGGGATGGAGCGGAATTTACAGACTTGATCGTTTATATAAAAAGGACTTATAAGGAGACCAGAGAGTCAGAGGATATCATTTCTGCAGATGAGCAGGATTTAGTGAAATGGTAGCCAAGTAATGAGAAATTTCTAGAAGATATGAAAGGAAAATGAGAATCCAGTTTGAAATCACAGCAGGACATCCACAGGGAAGCAAAAGACTGAACACACAGGAAATATTAATGGTAACACTTCAAATGAAAGGGGCTCATTTAGAGGAGTTCATTCAAGAAAAGAAACAATAGGAGGAAGATTGTTGCCCATGTAGCAAAGCCAAAGCTGGGAGGAAGCAATTTTCGTGTATCGCTACAAGCTTCAAAATCACCAGCACACACAAATTTCAGAACACATTTCCTAGATCTGTCAGGCTTTATGTTAATTAAAATGTCTGAATTATCAGTAACACTTCAAATATAAAAATATCCTCCAAGTGAAAGGGATTAATTTGCTTTAGGATTCTGTAAATAATGGAAAGAAAGCAAAATTCTGTAAAAAAGATGCCTTATCAAGGGAAAGTGACAGATTTGGCATTTAGATTTTGTATGAGTTTGTAATAGGATGAACTACCTTAGTGGTGGTAACACTATCTCTTGCTTCACACCATTAATTAGAAATAATGGAATTCCTAAGTGTTATACAATAAATTAGAGGTAGAGACAGAAATATTTCATAATATAGGAACTGCCATAACATACTAGATGAGTAGGTTATCTAGTTCACTATTAGGTGATTCAGAAAAACAAACAAATAATTCTGCCAAATAGCTTGCTTATGCCCTGAAAAACAAAGGCTTATATCCTGCCTCCACTCTGTATATAACAGAACTGCAGATGTTCTTCCTACTCACGTGTCTAATGCTTGAAAGATGCTCTTGTCCTCATCAGTAACTTATTCCACATAGTAGTTATAGGTTGCATAAAAATACTGCATAGACATACGCTTGATCACAACATTTTCTAATTCAGTATTTCCTCCTTGTTTTAGTAATGGGGGGATAGTAATGGGAGAGTTTCTCCCCCCTTTAAAATTCTGCACTTAATCATCTCTTTTCTCACTAACATCAATATTTTCCATGTCCTTCCCTAGGAAGTTTCAGGGGTCAAAACTTTAGTGCACAGCAGCACTTTTGAGAAAGAGTATCTACATTTATATTTGGCAAAACCCAAGTTTTTCTGTCTTCACTGTTAGAAGACAATATTGAGCACGTAAACCTTGTAGGGCCATTCCAGGTGTTTAGCAAACTGACTTACATAAACAAAAGCTCCCCCTAACCTCAACTGGAAAGCACAGAAAGAAGTTCTAAACATATGTATTATGTGCCTTGCATATAAACAGATACTCAACATTTCTGCCAATATTTAAAGGGATGCCCAATGCTTAGATGTTATTCTGCATAATACAGAACCTGCCTGTAGTACTCTTATTACCTCCCTTCTACATTTAACCTAAAGGAATCAAGAAGGAAAAGTTTATTAAACTCAGCCCTTCCTGAATCTAGGAGATTTGTAATGCTCAACCCTTCCCAGACCCAGCTCTATCTCCCATACAGCAAACTGTGAAGAGGTTAGGCACAAAACTCCAAACATATACCTTTTCCTTTTCCCATACTGGGAAACTGAACTTGCTGATGCTTTCAAGCAAGGGTGCAAAAAAATTCAAATTGTTTGACAGAGCCTTCCTAGCATATTAAAATGCTGCAAAACTTCCAGATGTTTGTAGTGTCATCATTTCATTGCTAACTTTTTGAGAAGACTCGATGAGAACGCATTCGTTTTTATCTCACTGCAGATTCCATTAGATATAACTTCAATAGCAAGTACAAAATTTTACTTTAGACACACCAAACAACTTAGTGGTCCAATGCATTTAAAACCCCTTTTCATGCTGAAAGACACAAATTTACTCTCACAGCCCTGCAACATTGCACATATAGCCCACATCACCACCCATACTGGGTAAAAGTGGAGGCAACGCCTTCGTTACGTTTAAGCTTGCAGTCAACCAAGGAATAGCACAAGCATATTTCAAAGGAAACCACAGCCAACTCTCTTCATTCTTGCAAAGCATCCTTGTAGCTGTATGCTGCACAAGGGAATAGAAAATAGTTAAAAGAAAAGAAAGCAGGAGAATTTTTTTTTCCAGGGAGACGTATCTCGTAAGCTAAAACCACCAAAAGCAGCAACCACCACTGTAAAACAGTTTAAAAGTTTATTTCAAGCAATGCACATAGCTTATCTGAACTCCACACTTCCTGAAGCCCACCCTTTTTAAAACTACCAATTTTCAATGTGTATTCCTTCAACTATATCTTAATTACAAGAAACAACTGCTCATGCTTTTGAGGTTAGTAAAACTTCTTCCAACATAAAAGATCAGCTAGATTGAAACTAATGCTTTGTAGCTGCAGAGAGAAAGTTACATGATTTACTACGCCAGCCTTACCACAAATAAGTATAGGAGAACATGGTGCCAGTCAAGCAAAACCACTAAACGTTTGTTCAACTGAGAAAAACATTGCTACCATTAAATCAGGCTTGATGTTACAAGGGTATGGCCTCAAGAGTGGAATATCATTCCACTCTTGGACCGGTTGTCAGGCTACTAACGCTGAAGATCATTAAACGCTGAAGCAAATTCCCTAATAAAGCAGTGGCTCCTACATGTCTTCCGATCAAGACAGGACGCCTTTCTTGAAAGTAATCTTTAATCAAACACAAGCTATGGACTTAGTACAGGAATAAACGCATGAAGTTCTATTGCCTGAGTTAGGCAGAAGATCAAGACTGGAATGTTTAAAAGGCACCTATTAAGTTTCAAATACATTTGAGCTTCTTGTCTCACCAGTTAATCCTACTCAAACAGCTATTTCTTTCTGATGATGGGTTTATACACCTGCTTACATCTGCAGACCAGTCCTCAGATTCTGCCTCTGCTTGGAACTCTAATAGGCCTCACAGTGAAAACGACAGCTCCATCCAAGCCAACGCAGAGCCCAAAACGCTGGCAGAAATAAGGAAGCTACAAGCATTCACAGCATCACTGCTAACAGGTTGCAGCATCACTGCTAACAGGCTGAAGGACACTTAAGCGGAAAAATACAGAGACCGGACCATTTTGCAGAACGAGATCCAAAATCCACATGCTTGTCGAAGCCTTCAGCAACGCTCTGTGGACAGTAATGTTCACTATTCTGAGAATCTTGGAATAATATCAGATGTGCGATTTTCATGTAAAAACACTAACACAATTTACACCTGCAAATATCTCACACGCGCACTGAATGCTCCACTGCTTAACACTGAAACGCACTGTCCTGAAACATCCCAGGGCGTAGGAACCCACGTTTTTCCTGGGTATGACTGCAAGAAGTCACAAGTACACTTTTAGGAAATGCTCCCTTCCATGTGGGGAAACGTGGGCAACTCTTTTGGAAAACAAGCAAGAGTTAGCATCAAAAGTGACAACGCCTGCCAGACTTCCATCAGGTCACTTCTTCCTACCACCAGTTTTGGCCTTCAGCTATGGTAACCGAAGTGAAACTACTGCAATAAATAGCTACAGTGAAAAAGGACACAATCAGTACATATGCAAGAAAAGCAGCATTCGAAAATAAGCTTCTGTTGACCTACATTTGCACTGTTTATAATAACGCACAAATAATCTATAAAGTCTCTGAGCTGGATGTGGTCACCCAAGTCCTGATACAACATACTGCTACCAAAATGAAATACATGCACACCCTTCAATCCACAAATCACGCTAGCTAGCTGATCAAGGAGCCCAGATGACACTGAAAAATCCTTTTCTTCCATTTTAAATTTCACATGGGAAGGAAATGAATGTGCATGACGAAATCTAACTTGCTTGGCTTTTTCATATAAATACTACTCTGTGAAAAAATAACAGGCAGTAAAAGATCAGGGAACTGAAGATGTTTCTCTCAAGGCTAACTCTTAAGGCCTGAACAAAATAATAAACGAGAGGGAATAATTTAGAATTATGGCAAGAAACTGTGCCGTCCAGTGAGGCTGAGCTCTGGGCAATTTAGAGTGCCCACTAAACATAAACAAAGTAACGTGACAATAGTGGTACTTCAGAGTTG